ATCGGTAAACATAGGAATTCTGTAAAAACTGATAATAAAAGTGATGTATTTTTATTAGTTTTGTCAACTGACTTCAGTTGATCATCAGTTAGCAGTTAGAGCATAAAGTAAACTTAAACAAAGCAACTACCAAAAACTAACTGTCCTGTGTAAATGTTTAAATACTCTTTAACATATTTGATGTTTATGAGCAATGACACAAATACCGCCTCCACCCGTTTACAACAGCAGTTTACAAGGGGGCTTGAACGCAGCGCACAGTACAAATAACAACAAATGGGGCGATCACGTCAGTTCGCGTAAAACTGAGGCTAAAATGTTTCAGTTTCTTTTTACTGCCTACGTTGGGTTTATTTTACCAAGTAAGCGACCATTATCCACCAGCGAGAAAACATCCGTAGTGAGTCATGTTGAAATAAAGCCGCTAGGTGACAGCATTTAGTCAACCCTCTGAGTGTTTCCTGGTCCGTAGAGAACAGTTAGTACTGTTGTCCCACAGGTGAGATCCATGTCGCTTCAGGGATGCAAAACAATGGTCCGAATCCTTTGAAAAAAGGTGAAGATTTCATTTGATTATTTACAGTCATCAGATATTAACACAATGACAGAATACACCAGTGATAGTTTCTGTGTGCAACAGACTCTAGGTTTCTGTGGGTCCAGTCTGTTTACCTATATGGTCATCTTTGAGAAGCTCTGATTTAAGTCACAGAAGAAGGAGAGAGAGAGAGAGAGAGAGAGAGTGTCAATATAACTCAAGTAGACCTATTGTGTCTAAGTAGGCTACAGAAATTTGTACTATATGTAAAATGTGATGCACTGCTCAATAGTAAATTAGATTAATTTAGGTAGAATATGTAAAATTACCTCAACCTGTCATGTTAAAATACTCTTGACATGTTAATGAATTTGTTTGAATAATTTTTCTATGATAATATAACGCTACCGGAGGCCAGTCTACCTCATAATGTCTACTTTTACTTTAATGCTTTAAGTACAGTCTGCTGATGGTACTTGAATACTTTCACTTAAGGAACATTTTGAATGCAGGACTTCTTATAATGGAATATTTTTCACAATGTATTATTGCCACATTCACTTTGGTAATTGAACTGAATACTTCATCCATTATCCAGCACTGGGTTAAACATGTGATAACTTGTCAGGCTTGTGTTTCTAGTTATATGTTCTTTGGCCAAGCCAGCTCGTATAGAGAGCAATGAATGGGTGAAAAGAGGGTCACTGGTTAAAAAAAACAGCAATCAGACTTTACAGATTGCATGAAGTGAACCAGAGTTCCACCTGACCTGGTTTGATTCCTGGAGGCACGCTGATATTGAAGTGCTCATGTGCGAGCAGAGGTGATGATATCATTGATGTTTTACTGTATAGCTGATACTGGGTTGCTATCATATATACTGTTTCGTACTGTACAGGAATGATGATATGTAAGTATAAGAATTCTCAAACACTTGCTTCTTATTCACATACTGAGTGATTTGCACTTTGTTCATGGATTGGAAACATATTTCAATGAGCCAGGTCAATGACTTTTTAAGAATTTCTCTTTTTAGCATTAGCTTCCAAAAAACAAGCAGTAACATCAAAGTCTGAAAAAGCAAACATTTTGAAAAGTTCACTTGACCTAGATCAACGGCAGCTCTGTTTTGGTCAGCCCATCCTCATAGTTTGCTCTGTCCCTTCTGGAACAAAAGTAAGTATTTTGTCACTACATATACAAAAATAATATTCCAATTTAATTCTGCCTTATGCAGAAACAATTAAGATCACAATACTTTGGCAAGGTTTAAAATGTACCTCATGAGAAATTCAAAAATGCCCCTTTAGTATAACCTAAAATAGTAACCTTTACATCTAATTTTTAACCATTAGTTAAACAATATCTATTTTTGTCATATTGACCTACCTTACAGAGGGTAACCTCTTCCTTTTCATTCCCTTTGAACCCAAACACTGATAAAGAAGGCATTCACTCATGGTGAGTGTGATCAGCACACACACAGAACACACACACACACACACACACACACACACACACACACACACACACACACACACACACACACACACACCTCAGATCATGTCTCTCACTTGCTACCCCACCTATCTGTTTGGTCAAAGTCCAACGCAAATCATGAGACACTACCTCTCGGGATATCATGAGACATGTGTTAGTGGACTTTAACATGGACAGACACACAAATGCATACGCAGTTCATTTACACGCCACACATTTTGGATGTTTGAGCAGTTCATTAACTTTATACACAGAGTTACCACCATTTGAAAATGTAAAAAAAATAACATTTACACAGTATTTCTGAAAGTTTTAGCAGTGAAATTCAGGTAATGTGTGTTTATCGGTTTGCGGTGTGTTTTAACAATGGTTACAGGATTCACGATACATTGCTGCTGTCATAAAGGAAACATAGTTTCTAAGGCAGATAGACAAAGTTCATGGCACAGCAGAGATTCAATTCCAGGCGTTTCTCCCTTATCATGATGCCTGAGAATGACCTGACTTAGCTTCTGGTGCAGCATGCTTCATCTGTATTGACTGTCTCAGTCTACAGTAAGTATATACAGTATATATTGCACATATCTTCTTTAGAATATGTTGTACTGTATTTCCCTCTCTATCAGACAAGCACACTATTCCTACATAATTCATCTTGACCATCACAGAGAGAAACAAGGAGAGTGAGACGCCAAGAAAGAGACAGAGAGACAGACACATAAGGACAGACAGATTGCACAGATTGCATAATTTATTCTCAGCGTTTTGCTTTCAATAACAGTATAATTCAGTTGATGTAGGTCCAATCTCGTGATCCTTTAAACTGTCAGCAGGAGTCCTCATGAGGGCAGGGCTGTAATTTAGTTTTGCTCATTTTCCAATGCACTCTTGTCCCTGTGAGAAGGACACTAACTTGATTCAACGTCCTAGTAGGTGCCATCTGGGTAAAGGCATTTTACATTTTTTGATAAAAGACTGGGTACTTAACCTAAAGCTCTTCAACACCAATCAGTATGAGGTAGTGTTCTGGAAATACTGTGTCACTTTCTGCAGAATTGACAGAGATTGCTTCATTTTAATATACTCTTGAGTATTTTGGGAAATGCACACTGTCTGTATAACATTGTTTAGTTACTGTCCATCAACTGAGGCCATTTTGTGACTATTAAGGGTGGTATTGACTTATTTCGTATCCTATAGCCATGTCCTCCAAAATACCAATAAAAACTGCATTGGAATTTCATAGAATTTCACTCAGGACCATTCTGAGTATTAGCATGTGTTTATCTATCCATCAGTGTTTATTTTTGATGTTCTGGACTTTCACCGTGTGCTGACCGTATTGATTTAAAGATACAGTATGTAGTCCTGCCGCAAAGACAGAAAACACAAGGCTGATCATAACGTTTTTAATCCACAAATTTATTACATACAAGTAATCCAGATTAGACCATGTAAAAAAAAAAACCCTGGTTATCAAATGAAGGTTCTGAAAAAACTGATTTGTTCCTGTTTCTACTTCACAAATGACTGTTTTTCATTGTATAGCATGTAATAACAACAACTGAAAAAACAAAACAGCTAGTCCTACAAACCTCCTGCTGATAAAACAGTGTCTCACTTGCAATTTAAGTCTGGAAATATCAGGCAGCATTTTCCCTGAAGAGTATGGCAAGATTTTGAATTTTTTTTGAAGATTTCTTTTTTTTATCTTCTCTCCAAACAAATAAAATGATGGATGATAATATGGAGGAAAAAAAATTAAATAGTGCACTTAAATGAATGGCAAATACCTTTCAGACTTTTTTGAGAACAAGGCTTATAATGAGAGAAATACTTTTTCAAGGGGAAATCCCATTTGCACAATAAACAAAGGAGAAGGTTTTTTTACATTAATATTTTCTTTTAATATCTTTCTCAAAGGGCACCCCATTCATTTCACTTTAACATTATTTAATAGAAAGGGGCATGCCATTCCCTCTCATCTGATACCAGGTCACTCCTTCAGCATCCATTCAAAATCTTTGTGTCATGAGACCTACATACCCTCCCTAATGCAGGGCAAGACGTGATTGGTTTTGACTTTACAAATGTAAAAAGTGAAAGCATGCACATGACTCCAACTTGTCATACAGTGCTCCCAATTACAAAATTGTGTGGATTCCTTCAGCTGCATTATTGAATCACCAACTTACTATTCTGAGTGTGGTCAGATGATTGTGTAGCAGCTTTCAGAAAAAAAAGACCATCTGAAAGGGGAAAGAAAATCCAATTCCTTCTTCCATGCCCTGCTAAATGCTTTCAAAGTGCACTTGAACATGCCACACAGTGGCTGAATGCTGCTGAGGAGCAGCAGCTGGAATGGCTGAGTTAGGGCAGATGCTGGATGTCCATGTGACGCTTGTATCTTTTTCAACATACCCCTAATACTTCACATAAGACAGTACTTTTTGTCAGAGGTCTCCTTACAGTTTCGAATGATTAATGCAACATATTTGATGTCCAGCCTACACTGGAATTTGAAACAATGACTGAGGTTAAAGTTGACTTCCAACTTTAAGGGTGTTAAGAATGTGAAGAAGAACATCTTCAGCTTTCTGTGTTTTCATACCCATAGAGGGTGATCTGGCAGGTATGTAAGATTGCCAACAATGTCTTAATAAATCTATGTAGAAATATTAAAAGTATGGTTAGTTTAGTATCATTAGTGGTAGGTCTGTAGGAAAATTTCTGGTTGCTGAAGACTAATATTTAATCAATGCAATAGGACAATGATATGGCTATGTTTCTTCTTCAGGTTGCACCAAGAGCAACGCAGCTCTGATTCATTCAATTTGAACATGTGAACAGAGCATGATCAGGGCGGAGACGACGTGACGTCACGCGCCAGGCTGACCAATAGTGTGGTGTGTTGCCCAGCCTATGATTGTACAGTAAATACTATGAGCTCTACCTCCTTCCCTCTTGCTGCAGCGATGAAAGCAGAGGAGAAAACCAAGGGAAATCCCTGGATGAACCATAAAACCGTTTGCTAGAGCTGAGATATTCTTCTGCTAGTAGCTAGCCTGGTGAAGTCGAAGCTCTCCGCTGGTTTAGTCGAAGATATCTGTGTCAGAGGGGAACCTGAGCACGCTGAGAGAGACATAGGGGGGTTTGTCGGCCCACTGCAGTCTGAATCACCGGAGACTCGCCCCACCGCTGGTTCATCATCGACGTCGTTGGCCCATCGACGTGCGCATCCTCTCGGAGGCAGAAAACAACGGGAAGGGACGGGACCCAAGCCCGTGTTTGGCCCTCTGCCGCAGCCCCGAGGTGTGCTGCTTGGCAGAGCATGCTAAATAATGAGCCAAAGGGACACACTGGTTCATTTGTTCGCTGGAGGGTAAGTCAGACAGCGAATTTAATGTATGAATTGAGGTTGTTTTAAAAATTGCAGACAGCTTTGAAATATAAGACTCATTGTCTGGTTTACCTAGCTATTTAGCTAACAAGGACCATTTTTCTAAGCAGCGCGTGCACGTCAGTGTCAAAACCGTCGGTTACCGCACTTCCTGTCAACACTTCAAAATATGTCCATTTGTGTTATGAAATATGAAAGAGATTGCGTGTTTGAGCTTAAATGTGCCTTCCGGGACTCCGTTTTGTATTTCAACTGAGATTTTTGTCGTTTTACACCCTTAATTACTAACTTCTTCTAATATTTTGTACCTTTATTTTGAAGGAAAGTTAGATTAATTTCCTGGCTCTCTCTCTCTCTCTCTCTCTTGACAAAGTTCCCCTGCAGCCACAGGAGAGCTACTTATTTTATCCAGAGATTTAACATTTTAGCAACCTGAGAAATTAATTACATGAATGAAACGAAAGGCCAGTTACAGGTCTGCGTTTATAGAGTCAACAGTGTGATTAACTTCTATATCTTGTGTTTCTTTATTGATGGATATTAATAACTGTTGAAATCCCAACTCGTGTAACTTCATTTTTTTAGGGCTATTAGGGTGTTCCCACACATTTTCATGTTAATTACTCACATTCACAGCAGATAAGCATTACCTTGCAAACGTTCATCTGATAGTATTTGTTTCCAAGAATGATATTCTGAAGATTTTTCAGAGTTTCATAACTCTACAAGAATTTTAGTGTTCTGCCCGTTTCGCAATTCCTGTGGATAATTTTCTATTGATCATTTGTAAACCACCAAATAAGGCGAGAAAGTGAGGACAATACAGTAAGACTACTGTAGATGAAACTTGCATGCCATACAATAGCTAAGCAAAACTTCTTGTTCTCAGCTCTGTTAACAGGCCTAACAGCTTGTACATCAAAGAAAATGTAAACACAGGTGTAAAATTTAGTTTATTGATGCAGATTATCTGTCTTGTTTTTAATCCACCGTCCTCAGTTTTTCTGCTTCTGTCACCTCTTCTTTCATCTCTGCACCAAACCATTGACATTCAAATATGGTAATTTCATCACAACACAACTCTACTTTTATCTCTCTGAAAATCTGAAACAGCTCACTGTGTGTTGCAGTCTTGTGTAAACAGAATTTGATTTGCTTTCCCTAAAAACCTGAGCTGACAGCAATAGCACAGTGCTTCTTCTCACAACCACTGAGCACATACATGCAGCAGCCAGCATAGCCCTGAAAGTAGGCCAAGGGTCACCGCTGCCTGTGAGCATGAATGTGGGTCGGTCTTTTGAAAGGTAAATATAGCTGGTGCTACTCTAAAGAGAGTGCAGCAAGAGGAATTCGCTGCAGTGAGGATATCAGAATACACCACTCTTCAAATACAACTAGTATTCACTTTATCTGACCTACAGAGAATTTGTATAATTTGTCACAGCAGCTTTGTGGTGGTTTAACTCTGAAGCTTTGTCCATGCAAGTCCTATTGTGGAAAGCACTGAGCCGTTGGTGAAAGCAGAGGGGATCAACCAATGTGCACGTGTGGCACAGGGACAGAACATTGTTTTGAGATGACGTCTACTAGCCTACGGCTTATAAAAATTTTGTACTAATTTATACCATATAAAACAGATAGATAATACAAAAATATATGCCTGAAATTGGTGCATTATGATAATTAAGATATTCAGGGTGAAACTGATTGGAATTAGATCAGCTTTAGTTTGTTTACATGCTGCTGATGGCTTCAGTTAGATTAGAGGTCGAAGTCCAAGCAACATGATCACGAGTTTCTTTGGTTCATTTGTAAACACTCATGTCTTTATTTATGGTGTGCACGTGTGTGTGTGTTCAGCTAAACAACAGTCTTAATTTTCATGACACCTCATTCTTGTCTTCTCAGATAGCAAAGTGTCAGCAAAGTGGTTATAGTTACACTAAGCCGGAATTAGTTTCCTCTGAACTGAAACCAGTCAAATAATAATAGTCTTGATAACTTCCACATCGCAGTATCACAACACCAAGTCATGGTGTATAGATGTCTGCCTGCTCCTAGATAATTTTAGCGCTAAAAGGAATAACAGATTGTGTTACCAGTGATTGTGGAGACCAGTATTAGATGATGGTTTAATAAAGAAGACCAGCACAGGAAATGGGCAAAATATAGATGTGACTTGGACCAAATATTAAAACAATAATATTATAGTTGGTCCTTTACATATTGAATGAAGTGAGCAAAAAATAGCCTAGAATTGTAAAACATATGCATATCATATCCAACCCTTCCCCCCTATGACCAATGCTAATGCAGAGCATTAAATATGTTTGTTTTGTTGTTGATTTGTTTGTCTCACCATGTTTTACCTCATTGTGTGCTTTTCTTCCATCATTGTCTTTGTTTCTGCACCCTTTCCTTCTCAATTCATTCGTTCCTGTTCCCTTTGTAGATGTGGTGGTACAGTGGGCGCTATTTTGACTTGTCCTCTGGAAGTGGTGAAGACCAGGCTGCAGTCCTCCTCCATCACTCTCTACATCTCTGAAGTCCAGCTCAGCACCGTCAACGGAGCCAGTGTGGCCCGTGTCGCTCCGCCAGGGCCTCTGCACTGTCTCAAGTAAGGAGTATGACGCTACATGTTAACATCTTTTCTTCATTAGGCATACTTTCAAAAATTTATCTTGTTAGTTTTGATTTATTACATGATATGGGCGTAGAATACTTTTGTCAACCAAATCTTAACATTGTTTTTTTTGTAACAAATGCATAGACCTGGGAAATGCATATCAAATTGTCAATTAATGTTGTGAAATGAATATTCTGTTGGATTTTGTAGTATTATGACATAGGTTCAGCATTGTCTTTTCCTGGTCTTGGTGTTAGTTGAGTGATATGTTGGAAATTACATCCAGCTGTCTGAAAAGAACAGTGATTGTTTATACTGTCATTTCCAAACTACTTTTGATTGTTTTTCAAAATGTTTATTTGTTAATTAGGGAGATATGGTTATGGACAGCTCATGGGTTAGTACAAACCAGACGTAATTTAGCCTGACTGCATACATTGTTATGATTACATGCAAATGGAGGCAAACATATACAAATGTGCAGCACAAATTGAGGCAAAGGCACTGATTGATTTGAAAATGTGTCTGCCTGCCAGAAAATTTGGAGTTACCATGAGTTGTGTAACACAGTCAATTAGCAGGGGGAACAAGGTCTGAAAGAAACAAATGAAATTCCTGGTTTTGTTAGTCAATCAGAGAGTTGTGACGTAAGCAGTCTGTTTGTTCTTGCTGCAAATGTTCATATCTGTGGTATCTGCAGTGATAATGTAACAAGTTTGTCTGTATGTGCTGTATCACTGTAATATCAATGTGAGTTTACATTTTAAAGTACTTCCTACAAACAAATGCTTTTAGAGCATAATTATTTGCCTCAGTCTGAGATGGAGTGTTACATCACCATAACACCGTAACAATTGAAATTGTTTAATAATTGATAAGAAAAAAGCAGACAATGGATTTAGCCTATTGCCGTGTTCCTACAGTATCTATTTCATATCAAAGCCATTTGGAGTATATTCTGAATCTGAACCAATGCGAGGCTGGTCAACATGGCATCGCAAACTACAAAATTTTGTTTTCAGAAATGCTTAACTTGCCCAAGGGAGTTTTTTCTTTGGATTGCTGGGGAATTTTATTTTGGGAAACTTGTTGGTTAACTGCAGAATCTACCACCAAGACACTTGAGCAGTGCCACAGGTAAAGTCCAAGCCTCTAGTGTATTCCTATCAGTGGTATCCAGACACAAAATAGATGATTTTAAACCTCATTTTGTCCATTAAACTCTGTGGCTGTTTTGGGTACTTTCTCTAGACAACTACTAGGAAATCAGTATAAGAAATACACTATGAATTGTTCCCGTTTTTTTGCAACATGATATGTTGTGTCATTACTCTTCTCATTAAACACAATGGAAAGATGGGAAGTGAGAGCGTAGGGGAATCTGACACTGGTTAGGTTTATTTTGAGCCTACTAAAAACAAGTGTGCCTGGATACTTGTAATGAATGTTGAACACTGAAGAATTAACAGCGTTTAAATAAATATTCAACATAGCTACAGGGCTCTACTCTTGTCTGTCACAGAGCATGTCACTCACTGTTAAACATGCTGCATAATGCACAAGCTGCTGTGTGTGGAATTTTCCACTGCCAGATGCTTGCATTAATTATTTTGTAAATTGGGTGTCTTTTACAAACTACTTATCTCATGTTTTGCTCCATATCACAGGAAAAATGTTGCTTTTGAACATGGAATTACATGAGATTCAGATGTATAGGACAAATGCTAATTTCGCACTTTCACAGTTTGATAGAAACGCTTATTTGTCATGTAAGTGTTTTTTCTTCCATTTGTTTGGCTGAAAAAATTTGATTTGTTCTCACAGGCTGTTGCAATAAGTGGGAATGATTTCTTTTCAGCTTCCCTGCCTCAACAAGGCTTTGTTATCAACACTTTCTTCAGGATTTTGTTTAATAACACTGGACTGATGCCCCTTTTAGAGAGATTGCAGTTAATCTGGGCATTGTTTTGAGCTCAACATTGGTCTTATACTGAAGTAAACCAACTTCTTGTGTTGTCCTTGAGCCAAGAGCAGAAAGTGCGCACCACTACTACATAATACAAAGTGGAAAAGGGCAGAAGAGGGAAGAGCAGTATGGCAAGGAAAGAAAAAAAAAACACACACAAGTCAAAGTGGCTCAACATGCAGTGTGGCGCTGGCCTAGTTCCATTTTAGAGCAGGGTATGTAAACTAATGATTTGAGTTTTGTGACTGTGGAGAACACTGCCACTCTAAGCTGTGTGTTGAGTAGGTATCGATAATTACTCTGTATTCTTGAGGAGATACCACACACTGTAAATCATTACTGAGGTGAAATATTTAACTATTAACAGAACTTGGCAAATATCTCACAGCCGCAGTTGGAAGGCAAAACTCAGCAACCCACAAGCTGAACAAAATGCAGCTACATAGCCCAGATAGACTGGGGCTTTGTCTTGTTTTTAATGGTATGGGACAGCTCTAGTCTAGCCACTATCATAAGAATTTAATCTCCTCCAAAGGACCATTTTGTTATCTGGCCCAAAGGACCATTTTCTTGTGTTCTGGGTCTCTTATTTCTTTCCAAGATCACTTGATTGTTTTCTTTGAATGTAGTTTGTATCAGTGAATGTGAAAAGGTGCACCAGATGAAGGTGAGCTACAAACTGAGCTTATTCTGAATCAGGTTACTGGGTTAAATTAGACACGAAGGAACAGTCTTTGAAGTCAGGTGCCAACAGAAAATGAACATGTGAAGTGTTGACTATAAACACCGACAGATCTGGGACACCTGTCATTTCATTTTTTCTTTGGTCCTCCAGTGTGTTGATAGTGACCCTGTGTATAATGTCAGGCTGTACTGAGTGTCAAGTCTTGGTAGAATGCCAAAGAAGTTATAATTTACTGGTCTATCTGCTAAGGGCGCCCACATCAGACATAAATTTAGCCACAAACAGAAGTTGTGCCAAATGAAATGTTGTCTCTATGGTTTGACCTGCTTTTTGAAGGACTTTCTATTTCCAGTGGCTCTTTTTCTGTGACCATAAAGCATGTGAGGGATTTTTTTTACATACAGGGTTGAGTAAAGATCTGTTGCATGCGTAACTTCAGAATGCATCCTGTTTATATGAAATGTAATTGCCAAACATTAAAAATAAAACTACTCATTGAACACTTTGGATTAAAAGGCTATGAAGTAAAAGTTAAACACACGACAACACCTCTATACACAGTCAAGACATCTCTCTACTCAATGCGCCAGCCAGTCACATGCTTATTTGCCCAATGATATACATTAATTTAAAGTTTAATACATGGATATTAAATGTACTGTATTCTTTCTCTGTACAATGATGGAATGACCAATAAAACTGAAATGTGAAACTGAAATGTTTAATGAAATGTTTTCTGTCTTTGCAGGTTAATTCTAGAGAGAGAAGGACCTCGTTCACTCTTCAGAGGACTAGGACCCAACCTTGTAGGTGTGGCACCTTCCAGGTATGTACAGTATTATCTACAGTGTTCTGGGTGTTTCACCTGGCCTCTTACTTTAGCCTTCATGTCCAGGTCGTCTTAAGCAATTCCACAAAAATGTATGGAAAAAAAACTAAAGAAAGAGGAAAGTAAATAACCTACACATGCATATCTGATAACCAACACAAGAGAGTCACTAAACCTCTGATGTTAATAAAAAACTGTCGGATTGTTACACTTTTCTCAGCTCTAGCTTGACGTGCTTGACTGTTATCAGAGAATAAAGGCATTCCTGTATCATTCACTTCACACATCACATAAAACCTGGGCACACAGGAATATATTTGCTCCTGCTAGATGTTTTTCAAGTTTCCGGCTCACTTGGAGCTTATGTTGACAGTAATAATAGCAGGTCACAAATACACAAATGAATGGAGTTAAACTCACGGAAATGCAATGAAAATCTGTCCTGCAAATCCCAGCGGAAATGAGCAGGTTTTCTTGCTTAGCTTAGCTGGTTAGGGTTGCATAACAGCCTGGAGTCAGTCGATCAGAGTCTGAATGAAACAGCAGCAACTGCAGGCGGCAGCCGGCTGTGACAGTCTTGTCACGTGACTGTTGTTGTGTATTATCATCACAATGGGGTTCCTATATTGAGGCAGTTGTGTTTGTGTCTAATCCCCCTCCCTGACCTGTCTAGTTCTCCCTAGCTACCTCTGCATCACATTGTCATCCTCTTCCAATTGGTTCATTGTAGTGTCTGTCTCAGTCTCTGAGTCATCCTCTCCTCTGCTCTAATACTCTGTCTCTATCTCTCCTGCCATGTTTGTCATTCTTTGCCTATATTAATTCAGAACTCTGGGTCCTTTGCTATATATGCTGTCTGACTCAGACTCTCTGTGTGTGTGTGTGTGCGCGTGCGTGTGTGTGCGTGTGCGTGTGTGAGCGTGCGTGCGTGCGTGTGTGCGTGTGTGTGTGTGTGTGTGTGTGCCCTGTGGGCTAGTCATCCAGCTGTGGGAGAGGCAGCTTCTTTCCTGGTCATGACAGCTATAGCAAACTGTGCTATAGGATGACATTGTTACATAAGCCTGAGCCTGATGAACTCATCATAGCAGTTTTAATCCTAATGTTTTCCAGTTATTTTTCTGCAGTTCCAGACTGTCTCACTGCGGATACAATACATCATTACATACAATCTGTGTATTTGTACCTGATTGCCACAGTGCTTCACTGAAGCTTTATCACACTTCACAGGAAAAAACGAAATGAAAAATCTGAGACTTATGGTAATTGGTAAAAACTCCTTCATTTAAGTTTTTCCAAGCCATGAGCAATACTAAATCTTCACTCATTATTCAGAGCAGCCAGATTCATCAATTCAGCCTTCAACTGACTGCAGGCAGTTAAATCTAAGGATTCTTCAAGGAAGATACGCTAAACAAATGCCAGATTGCTATGAGTTATTGATCAACATGCATCCATCAATGCCTGCCAGTGGAAAATTCCAGTTTTGAAGATGTATGGCAACTTGAAACATTTCCACTCCATTTAATCACAGTCTAAAGCTTGAGCTTCAGATGCAATATTACTGAATGAAATAACTGATGTATTACTTTATCTATCTGTGAGGGGAGGTGTGGGGTGCTGGGCTACAGAGTTATTCTCTCCTGTTATAATTAGGAAACAGCACTCTGACGCTGGAAAGCTAAAAACATCTTCTGATGCTAATGAGAGCACGGTTCACTGGGCGTGCTGCTGGCGTTCATTAGCAACACACACACATAAGACATGCATATGGAACAGCTTGGACCAGCAGCGCCAGTCATTACGTAGGAGAGATGCACATACACATTCAGAACCACTCACATAATTCATCTACAGAGCAACATGATGATGTTGAGCGTGCATGCTCTCAATTCAGATGGAGAGCAGGGAGGAGAGGTCACTGGGTTTAATTCCACTCAGCAGAAATGTTGACTAAATCCTGTGATTTTATTTAGTGAAAAGCAACTAGAATCATGGGAGATAAATCTGCTACTAAAGCATGCCATGAGATGATTGAGACACACACACACACACACACACACACACACATCACACACACACACACACACACACACACACACACACACACACACACACACAGACACACACATATAAGCACAGATAAACTCTTATACATGGCTTGCTTTTATGTTGCATATTAGCTGGCTTAGCGCTCTTCTATGGCATGCCCTCAGGCATTCAGGCAGTATTTTGTTTCAGGCAGTTGAAATAATGTTTTCATATTTGATGATATTCTTCATATAAACCATGCAGTTATACAATTTCTCTGCTTATGTTACTAATGGTTCCAGTAAGTGATCTTATATAGTACAACTAAATTCCTATATACTCAACATTAACTTTTAGATGCAAATGGTGCACACGGCCATCTTGATGAGTGGTACAGGTACATGTGTTCAAACTGAAGAAGCTAATAAGGAAAATCATTGTTTTCTCCCAGTGTTCCCTCACTGGTTAGTAGTAGTTATTCTATAGTTAGCTTCCAGTGTTTTTAATTTCTTACCTATGTCTTATTGTTTTCGTCACAGGGCAATCTACTTTGCGGCCTACTCAACAGCTAAGGAGAAGCTGAATGGAGTACTGGAGCCAGACTCTACCCAGGTGCACATGGTGTCTGCTGGGATGGCAGGTAATGATGGCTCCCTCTCCTCCTCCCTTCTGTCTGTCCGTCTGTCGCTGTCTGTTAAATCTGCCTGTTTGTCTGTCTGTCAGTCTGCCTGGGCAGTGTAGATCACAGATGGGTTTTATTTAAAGAAAAAAACATGTTAAAGAATTATTCCGTTTGTCGTCATGAGACAAATTTAATTTATCTTTATCTTCTCATCATTTTTTTCACAATTTGTAGTACCCCTGAAGTTTCACATCATCACCACCCCCCTCTCCCCTTTCCATATACATGTGTGGGATGGGGGGATCTTCACAAATTTAAAAGCTTGTGAATACCTAAAGCATGCAAAAGCTAACTAATACTATCTGTTATAAGTAGGAATTACGTAGCTCTTTCATGTATAGAAATATTAAATATAAACATGAGGGTGTTTTAATAGAAAGCACAATTTAAGACTCTCAGGATCAAACCGACCTTGACCTTGATTGTGGTGACAGTAGCCTCACTTTGTTCACTGTGAAACCAAGCCATGAAAGATGAATTTATCCATGCTGGAAACAATTTACCTTATACTGTCAAATTATTTCAAAGTAAAGTGTTAATGTCCCATCTTACTTACATCTGGAAGTAAAGAAAAATTACCATGCCAGTCACACAATAACATTTTACATCCTTACCACCTACTCTCACAAGCTTTTTTCTGAGCACGTCCTTTCTCTAAATACACCAATCTACTAAGATAACACAGTATCTTGTCTCTTCATGGTGGCCTTGACAGCCCACATACGGTTGAAGTGACAAAACCTTATATCAGCACTAAATCCAGACACAGCACCAAGGCAGTTTCAGGCTACAATGTGCCACTGCTGGCATATCTCCCGTGACTAAGCTGTATATATTTCTAGCTGCTTAGCAAAAAGAAGAAAACCACATGGTCCTCAAAGTTTAGGTTGTGCTTTCCACTTCTCCTAGCCCTGTTGTCCCCCATGTCTTCCATTATTTTTTTTTATCCTCCTCGCCCTTCTTTCCTCTTTTTTATTCTTTCATTTTGAGGCCTCTCCAGAGGACTCTGTAAATGGTTTAACATCCCAGTTGTTACTTAAACAGTGTGGTCTGGGCCCCCTTCTTTGCTCTGTGTGTATAGAGGAGAGAGCACGGTCCCCAAAGGTCAACCGGGGCCCCTGGCACTCGGGCGGACACGTCAGGTAGCACCCCATTTCTTTACACTGGTATGATGAAAACCATGGTGATTTTTTATGAATATTAGAAAGTTCATGATGGTTATTCATTTGTAATGATAATACCATTGCTTATGGCAGTGTGTTTGCTGCTGGTTTGTAGTTTTAGGTTCTTCTCATACGGTTTTATTATTGCTTAGTCTTGACACACACCTCCCCCTTTCCCCTTAGCCTGTTGTCTTGTTCCATCAACATAGTAAAGGTAAAGTAATGACACATACTTGGATTTTATGTTTTTCAGCACAAAAGAAATGCTAACCTTGTCACTGCCACAAAAGCTTGTAAATGCTGTGCTTTTTTTTTTTTTTTTTTTGTCATCATCCATCAACACCATTAGTGCCTCAGTCATTTCTTTTCACGGAGAATTAGTATCTTTCCATCATCTAATGATTTCAACATAACGTCCTCTTTTCAAATGGGTTTAGGGTGCACCAGTAGGTCACCTGGTTAAGCGCATTATGTTATAAAGGCTGAGGCTGCCAGTTTAAAAAACACTAATTATTACTTGATACCAAGATGCAGTGAAAGCACAGATTTGTTATGTAATTGATGAAAACTTAACACAGTGGATCCCAAAAAAGTCTTCATACATTAAGCTTAGAGAATAGTGTTTTTTCTCTTGTTCCACACATTTCTTCATCAACGTGTCAGTCGCATACATATAAGCAAGGACATATTGTAACATGACCTTAGCCCATAAGCTACAAGTGCTAGACAGCTCGCTTATGTTATCTTGGGCAAACATCTGTGTCATAGATCTATACAAATGTCCCATTGTCCTTCATATGCACACATTTTCCATACTCTCCTCAAGCTTGTCAGCACTGAGAATTAGCAGAGTTAACAGAAGCCTTAGTGACTGGACAGCTACGTTTTACCCAGATGCTGGAGAATTGTTTCCAGTTTTGTAAAGTGACTCTGAGGAGTCACTGTCTCCCTGCTATGAATTGTTGGCTTCCTTTCTCCTTGGGGAAAGGAGGTTAGGCCGCTACTTATTTTCCTTTCCAGCCGTTAATCTAAAGCATATTTGCCGTCTCTGAATGTAGGTCAATCTTCTGTGGTGAGACTGCACAGGCATTATGTACCATAGAAGGGTCATAATGCACACCATGCAGCAGCATGACCATATGAAAATGCAGGTTTTCACTCTGAGGTTCAATTCAGGGATGTGTGTGTTAGCCTTTATTAGTTGCACATTTATCTACTTAATGGCTTGTCAAAATTACTAAGCAGGGAAACAAAAATGAGGTTAATTTACGTTACCTGAAATATCTGTTGCTTTGTCTCATGTCATAGAATATTGTGACCGTCCTGCTTTCCTTGTAAGGTTTATATACTGACATAAATTTGGTACACAGTGAACAAAAAAACAACAAAAACAATTACAAAAACAGTTTAACTCTCACAATAAAATGATTACTACATTAAACATTACTAATTTACATAATTATGAACATAATTTTACAATGAATGTTAAGACTTGAGGCTCTACACACAAACATTCTGTAACTGAAAAATACTTCAAAAGTAAAGTATTTTTCCTTTTTATTTTCAGCGGCAATTTCTGTGACATCGAAGAGGACGTGTTAGATAACTGCTGTAGCAGTCATCTGATGTGTTTTTGTAGAAACAGGCTGGCTCTCTAGAGACACTTTTTTGTCCACGTAAAAGGACATCTTAATGTTATTTTTAAATTTATCCCAGTTTTTCCAGAATCAGGTTTTGCCCAGAGAGATATTTGGGGCAAACTGAGTTAAATTCATTGTTCCACCTCATTGTTTCACTTCACTGTCTCCAATATGACTTCACATACTCGTAAAATGGTTTGTTTGCTCCTGACATCACCATCATCCTCCACTTAGAGTCTGTTACACACAACGACAAGGTTAGCATTTCCACCTGCCTCTCTTTATTTTCTACCTTATTTTATTAAGCATTTGATTTCGTTCTTTCTCTGATATGTAGAGTATAAACTGATAATGGCACAATGATAATGAAGAATACATCTTCAATTTTATTTTCTGCCTTTGTGTTTGTACTTGTGTGTCACCTCGCTTCGGTGAGATGGAGCTGGAGGTTTGGATTGGGTTGGCTTCTGTTCAGTCAACGTTTTCTTTATTCCAGTTGATAAAAGGAGTAAAGGGAGGGGATAAATTGTTATAAAGTGAAAGTAAAAGATATGTAAAACCATTTTATTAAAACGAATAATAGTAAATTAGTGGGCATGGGGTTTAGAGTTGAGATTAGGTTTTGGTGAAAGATGGGGGGGGGGGTCAGTCCTTCACCTCCCATCTCTTCTCCATCTACCTGTACAGTACCAGTGGGGTTGGGGTTGGGGTGGGTGGTTGGTGGGGTTGGGGGTGGATGTGACTGCTGCTTGTGTGCGACTGTGGTACAGAAAAGCCTGTGTCTATTTTAGGGCTTTACTGTAAAGCTTTCACCCCTGCGTGATTGGGTGGGAGACCCCCGCCATCTGAGCCCCCCATATCTGCAGGCTACTAGCTGCAGCGGGGAGGAGCTGGAGGAGCTTTGCCCCTCCCTCGTGAGTACACACCATAGACGCTACTTCCTTCTACTTCCCTCTTTTTTTCTTCTGCCTCTTTTGTTCTTCTCTTCTTCTCTTCAACAGACCTGTGTCATCCTCTCTTCTTCACGCAGTTGCCTTAACGTAGGGCTCTGTTGCATTGATACTCTAGATGTAACTCAGGCCTCTTTATAGACTTGCCCTCGTCTAGCTGTTTTCTGCAAATGGCCATGTTTTGTTTCTCTATCGTACATCATCTGCATCAGAAACTTTCAGAGACTTTGTGTCATTTCATAATGATACAAAGTGCTCATTAACTAGCTTTACACCCTACATATCAAACTTTACATCACTGTATATTGCCTGCTGTTCCTACCTAACAAAACTATGTTCAAAGTATCATCCCTTGTAAGCAACTCGAACAAGCACATGCACACACTCTTATCTACCTGCAAACAAGGGCATTCCTAATGCAATTTAGGGACCTAATTATTGACTGACCCCCTGTTTGGAAATAAGCTAACATTGAGATTGGCTGTGAAGACAGAGGGACATATACAACAAGGTGACCCGCCACCATTAGGAACTAAAGGCTGGACTAAATTCCACGTCAGAGACTTTCCACTTAAGTCCTGCTGAATAATTGAAGAATCTCATCCAGACACCATCTTGTTTCTCTCTGCTGTCATAGTAGGGCTTGTTGGCCCGTATCAGGCCAACAGCCTGTCTGTAGTGTCTAACCAGTTAACCACTGGTTTGTTGAATGTTATAGAATAAACACAAGGATATGCATTCATTGACTAATAAGTTGATGCATTCATATTGGTTTAAAATTTAGAGCAATGTCCAAACTATGAGTCAGACCCACTGTGTTTGACTTGGAAGTTGTGTAATAGCAGATCTGTTTGTAAAAATGCTGATAGTCATGTGTATATCAAAGCACCTTGAGAATGTAATGATATTAAAGAACAGACAACCTCTGTAAACTCTTTAAGATGAGCTGATGTTATGATAGTGAACTGATGTTCATAGAACCACAAGAGCTCTCATTAGCATTTAAAAGAAATGAATGAACTCCAGTAGAATAACAATCTGCCACACTCAAAGGCCTAAAATGAATTTGCTGCTTGGCCTCATTTCCCAGTGGTTGCAGTTAGATATTTTTTATGATGGAAAAAATAAAGCTTAAAGCTGCTGCCTTTGTGCACTGTTGTAAGTTAAGATACTTTAGTTCAGGAAGAGAGCTGTTTGTTTACTTGCACCTGAGTAACATTTCACATGAAGAGGATCAATATGTGATGTGTGCATTGTTGTCTCTTATGCAATCAGTGATTTTTTTTACTTTTATTAAATTGATACAAATTTAGTCTGAGTTAATGAATGAAACAGCTGACTGAAAAGTTAAACACTGAAGCCAGTTGATCCTGTTTAGTGAAGTGCTTTCTCATTGTCCTTGCACAGTATAGAATATTTAGTATACTTGTTTAGATTGTGTTCTTCCAAGTGTCTCTGCATCTGTCTGAACCTCTGACCTCCTCTGAATTTCCCAGGGTTCACCGCCATCACAGCAACCAATCCCATCTGGCTGATTAAGACTCGTCTGCAGCTGGATGCCAGGTGAGGAACCACAAACCTTAATGTCATAAGTCCCAAAGCTGCAGTGGAATGGGTTGTATGACTCTTTAACTTTCCTATATCAAAAATACAATAATGAGAATGAAATGACATTGTCATTAAATGAAAAGTCTCTTTATGATTACAGAAACCGGGGGGAGCGGCGAATGAATGCATTCGAGTGTGTGCGGCGGGTGTACCAGATGGACGGCCTGCGAGGTTTCTACAGGGGCATGTCAGCCTCGTACGCTGGCATCTCTGAGACTGTTATCCATTTTGTCATCTATGAGAGCATCAAACGCAAACTGCTGGAATCCAAAGCCCATGCCAGCATGGACGAAGAGGACGAGTCTGTCAAAGATGCCTCCGACTTTGTGGGCATGATGCTCGCAGCAGCCACCTCCAAGACCTGTGCCACCTCCCTCGCCTACCCTCATGGTACTCTTCTGTTTCACTCAGCTTAGCTTTTTTTTCTTTTCCAAGGATAAGGCTAATAATATTCCACGTTTTTCTTTTTGTCAACAAATCCCTTGGAAAAATATTGCCTGCCTTGTCCTTTAAAGGACGCTGTTAGTTTGCTGTTAGTCATATCAACTTGAAAGTGATTTTTACATAATCAATACATAATCTTTCAGGACACATATCATATGGCATATGGAAAATATTGTCAAATATGAACCATGTTCGAGTATTGAGATCCAAAATGGGGTATTATTTTTCCTAATTTGTACTGGAGTTTTACAATTATAAGGGAACAAAATCCATCACAGAAAAGGAAGAGTATCTAATTTTTCTGCTGTTTGTAAGATGAAGAGACCAGAATACATTGTAGCATCAAGACATGTTGCATTTAGAGTAAGGTAGTGACTCACTATTTGTTACTGGAAAAATATCAAGGTCCACTTGTGCTATAAATATCATTATCATTGTCCACCTACATGTAAAGCCCACAGCTGAATGCAACAGTTCAGATACCTTCTGTTTGTCTGAAGTAATTCTGGGACATTTAAGAACTCAGTGTGTCTAGCAGATTATTCAGTTTAGGATTAGGCGAGGGATAGTTTGTATACTCAAAGATGGATCACTTGCATCAATGGTTTACTTGACAGCAGCAGATACAAAAAAATATCTTTAGGGAGACATAGCACTCATTAGCGAAGTGTGACAAAAGCAAATAATGACCAGTAGTGTATCTAACACAGTTTTCTTCCTCCACTCTTAAATTGCAGAAGTGATCCGCACACGGCTACGAGAAGAGGGCAGCAAGTATCGTTCCTTCTTCCAAACTCTGCTCACGGTACCCAGGGAGGAGGGATACCGGGCGCTGTACCGCGGCCTCACCACCCACCTTGTCAGACAGATCCCCAACACCGCCATCATGATGTGCACCTATGAAGTGGTGGTCTACCTGCTTGGCCGTTAGCACACCAGGCTTGTCTCCTTCCTGTTTAGAGAGGGAGACAGCAAATGACTGAGAAGGATGCCCTTTGGCAAGTGCGAATGAGATGTCAAAATGAAGACCAAAGGAAAACTCAAGATAGTCTAGCGGACCAGGAAAGGACAAATGGAAAACACATGAAGAAAAAGGAAGGAGGAAATTGTTATCAGCATCACCACCTCCAGTTCCCTTTATCAAGCTGCTGGGAAAGATAGAGGGCGCTATATGTCACAGAAGAGGTAATATGGGTGGGACAAGAGAGGAGGCACTGACAGGAAAGACGCAGGAAACAGAAGGTACCTCTGAAGGAAAAGATTTTAAGCACATTTCAGTGGCCTTAACAGAATGGGTTTTAGTTTGCATCCTTCTCATCTCTCATAGAGATGATATTGTGAAGGGGGAATGCTTGGAGTTACAACTGAACTTGGACAACTGAACTTGACAGGAAAGATGATGACTAAACGTAGGTCGATTTCAATAATCCAAGAATCTCTACTTGGCCCCATTTGTCTGCACAAGTCTGCTCTTGCTTCAGTGCTGTGAAACTACTGTACGATTGGGTTGACTGGCAGTTAGGGAATGTCAGAAGGAGGTTTGCTTTTGAAGCAAAGAGATCACTGGTGTCAAGTCACCCAAATCCACCCATCTTCGCACTACAAAAAGTGTGGCTTCAAGCATTCCCCTCTGAACACTGCAGCCGACCTTCCCCCCTCATGCATGCATGGCAGTGCACTCACTGGCCAAAAACACAATGAAGAGCTTGTGATGGCCTGTCACTGAAAACACATGCGTCAGACACTTAACTAGTGTTTATAAAGAGTAGGTTGAAAAGCTGACCTTCATTCAGTGTTTGATTCCTCCATAGCTCAGTGCCTGGTGGTGACATGCTAAGGCTGAAGTTGGCCCGGGGCGTTGACAGTTTGTTAGAACTGAACAGAGATCATATACTAGGCCAGCTTCTTCCTTCAGCCAGTCACTGCTTAGGTCTTAAAAAACCTTGTGTGAAAACATGATTACTAATGTGTCCTTTCTGAGATGTGAAGTGTGCGACTGTCCAAAAGGTACCAAGACTAAGTATCTACCATTGGAGTTCCGCTGCTTAAATATAATGTGACGGTGTGGGGAAATGTTGGAGTGGGAGACTGTTGATGAAGTTTCATCATCACCCCATAACCTCTTTGTGTGAGTGTGTATGTGTGTGAGTCTAACATGTGAGTCACTTTCACCATGATGGTCTATGTTCAAGGATGTGTGTGTTTGTGCATCTGCAGTCATGTGTGCCTGCATGTATAATAAATATCTACTCCAGATTTCCCTCCTCTAACTATTAATCTTGCAAGACATTGTGGGTGTAAAAAAGCTCCTGTATGATACTGGGAGCTTTCATTACCACTCTCATGCCATTCCTTCCTTCCAGTGGCTTCCATCTGACCTGATAACATGCACTTTTGTGGCCTTTTAGGGCTTGTGCTTTGCATTTTATTGTGTGGACAGTATAAACTTGTACATTGTAAAAGAAAAAAAGTATTACTGTATATCAAAATGGTATTTTGCGCAACTGTTCATATAGCAGATATATTGTACAGTTTAGAGTTCTCAGTAGTTGTGAAGGATGTCCAAATGTGTTTATATAATATAGATACTGTATATGCATATCATTTTTTTCTTAGGCCTGTGTATGATCATGCTCTAGTATGCATTTGCAAATGATTGTTTTCATTTTTGTGCAATTTAACATTGTTTTGACATGGACTATTGACATGAGTATTGAAATTGCTTGACTTATTTTTGTTAAGTATTTTTTTCTGCATTTGTATGTTGCTGTAAGCTGTCATGCGGACATTTGTGCGTACATGAAAGCTAACAAAAGGTGTAGTACAAATACTTTCATGCAAGCATTTGTGCTGGAGCGTTGGTTAGTCATTTTACAGTGTTTATAAAAAGTGTTCCATTTTGCAAAGTTTGGATGTTTCCATCGTTCATGATGTTTACATTGTTCCTTACTGTCTGTCAGATTCTTTTTGGCTATCTTAGCAACATGTGAATATCTACATGGAGGTGTTATGTGAGAATTGAAGAACTGGAATCTGGGCAGAGTACCACGGTAATTTGGGATTGTTAAAGACTTAATTTGAGTGATCCAGAATTTGCTAATCTAACCTTTTACTGAAGAGAGTTGTTGTCTAAAAGACAGTAAATGTATCCTTTTTAAGCTATCACTTCAAAAAGCAAAAAATTTAATGTGCATTTTTTTCAAATTGTATACAAGCACCTTATCAGGTTTTCACTCAATACTTTTATGTTGTTTATTATCAGAACATCCTTCTAAATAATGTTTAAAACTTCTCCAGTCTTCTCACCACAGTCTCTTTGACCCAGTCGCTTTCTCAGTGCGCACTCATTCTTCATACGGAAATGATAAAGTTCACACAATTTCCATGTTTTAAAAAAATATTGTCTTTTTTCACCAATTACAGGAAATCTTGCTCATTCACCCATGATGTTCTTCAGCGCTCTCATTTTTCCCCCCTTGTTGCAGTATCATTTCAGAGGCAAACTGGGTTGCTGTAACTTGTAATAGTTATTGATTTTCTGTCTCCATTGACATGTTGCTAGCCTTTAGTTGCTGTCCATGCTTGAAAAAAAAAATTTGCAGACTCATTTTAACGTCCATGTTTTCCTACAAAACACTAATAGTTTCTATGTCTTTGGCTTCGTTGCAGTAATACTTGAGGTCAAATTACCAAAATGTGACATGAACAGACAACTGGACAAACAGTGCAAACATTTCATTTATGTTTTTTTTTTTTTTACCTCTCAGTGTCTGTATGCAATTCAATCTCTTCAGCCTGTATGCTGGGACTGGATTGCAGTCTCAAGCAGGGTTGAATGACACCTGAACTACCGTTTTTTGCCAGCTCAGTTGTTGATGTGTTTTTGTTTGTTTTGTTTGTTTTTAAACACAAAAGTAAATAAAAATACATTTGTAACTATATTTATATGAGCCTTTATTTATTTATTAATATGTTCTGTTGTAGAAGTATTTACAGTTTGAAGCCCCTAAAGTTAAGAAGAGGTTACTCTTGTTCGGATGTAAGGATAATTTATGATGAAAAACCACTACATTTGACTGATACACTAAGCACAATAATAATCTTCTTTTCAGTGGGCAGAGGACACTTTCTCTTGTTCTAGTGCACATCTTTCTAAGATAAGACGGAATTTTATCCATAAAACGTTTATGCTAAAGATGCTCAGAATACAGAGTAAAATAAATACATACCACATATATAACACATACCACATAGTAAGGTACAAATTAGAAAAAAATACTGTATACAAATGTAAAATAAACGTAAATGCAAAGTGTGATGGCGCAACTCAGGAATGGAAGTCCAGTTTCTATTTTATAAATTACAGGCAATGAATGAAATGTTGGGAGATGTGCTTCAGTGTTATTATGTTAAAATGTTTAAGAAAGTATAGAAATTAAAGTATGAAGAGTTCGAGGGGGAAGAAGTCCATGAATTGTATTTACCTACTCTTACCAGCAGGAGGAGCCAAATAGCTCCTGATAGAATTGACCAGCGCACAGGTTGAATTTACTGAATTCACTGAGTTTAGTTTTCTCCCTAACCTCCCCAAAATGCAATTAGAAATGCCATTTAAAGTTGCAATCAGTCTAAAGTCTTATGAAACCGAGAGGGCCTTTTTCTTCAACCCGGCACACACAGACACACACACACACAGTTCCCACCTTGCACGTCTTCATGATCATCTTCATGCTGACATATTAGAGGCCAATAAAGGCATCGATTCCTGATTAGCGCTCTGTAATGGACGTGTAATGCCTGCAGCAGAATTAATCAATGAATGTGGGTAGATTGAAATTGGAATAATCCATCATCATACATGTTGTGGTTGCATTGAAGTGACTTACATAAAAAATGGCCATAAGACATTAGTTTGTATTGATTTTGTAGTGCAGCTATGAGGGTTGTTCAGCACAAACAGCTCACACACTGCCCCGATTACAACTCGATTCAAATCAATCAGCCCTGCTCTCTTTTACTTAAACAAAATAGCCTGAATTTCAGATTTTACAGCAGATCAGTTTATTGATTTTGCGGTTATGTACATCAACTGGCCTCCACTTAACAGCCAGTTGAATTGTTTAGTGATGAAGAGTCTGCTGGAAACCACAATCTGAGATGTACACAAGAACAGACAAATAAAGCATGGGGATATCGATGCATTCAAGTGCTGTCGGGAGCGATGGTAATAACTTACACGGTGGTAAAACAAACTAGAAGGGCTAAGATTTAGAGTACGAATTATAATAATGATACATAATATATATAACATAACTATAACAATTACATATTTATCTATTGTATATATTTTCTAAACTGAAAAGTGCTTCTCAGTGATCAAAAACATGTCTTTGACAGGACTGCACAGGCCAACATAGCAGCAACACATAGAACATAATTAGAAAATGCGACGCTTTCTGGTAACTGCTGCTGAAAATTTCCCACTGAAACATTTGAAATAATTGAAATCATGACAGAAGCAGAAAAGACGGATAAGCCGTTTAAATGCAGTAACTTAAATTTGAAATGGAAACTAAAATGGAAACCCTTAAGGAAGTTACAAGTTTGGTAGAAGCAAAGTGAGTTTTTTTCATGTTTTGTCATGACTATTATCATTGTTATTATGCTATTATTAGTACTAGTAATATTAATAATAGCTATAGTAGTTGTAATAAGAATGGTAGTGGTGGTATCCTGTATCCTTCTGGAAATAGGTATCTCGGGAACGTACGAGCAGCACTGGAACGCACCATCAAAGTATCAGCCAATAGCGTCAGAGCAGAACGCAGTGTTATGGTGGAAGCGACCAATCAGCGTTCGTTGTGCGGAGTAAATGGACACTCAGCATCGGGTGCTTGGCTGCCTGGTTTTGTCGAGCTGCTGTTTAGTGCAACAAAGGACCCGTCGCTAAATGGTTGAAACACATGTAACATCGCTGGAATAACGTTGTCATCAGCGGAGAAGAGGACAGGTCTCGGTTCTTCTGAAACCCTCAGAGAGAAGCGTCGTTCGGGGGCGAGTTGAGTTTCTGTTCGGTGAGTGTTTCTCTGTTTACACCGGATGAGCTGGATCTGGAGCACTGGGTGATGTGTAGTTGTAGCGAGGCGAGCGGAGTCCTGTGTTTTCCCTCTCAAAGTATCTTTACTACATTTCACACCGTTGACTTACTTTGATCATATGGAGCTCAATTTCACGGCTTCTCTTCCCAAAATCACTTTTTCTTTGCAGTCTCTTGCCATGTCATGGTAGTCTGATAAAGTTCCCACAGCTTACATCCGAAAACCTCAGGAAAACGTGTTCACACACCTGAATGTGTATGAATTCATGTGCAGTGTGTGTATGTGTGTGTCTGCATTTTCTCATGGTTACTTCTGTGGTTATACTGATGTCATCATATCTGTCATTTAACATCACATAGTAATATGATGGAAAGATTGACTGAATCTCTGTATTGCCTAAATAGTGTGTGTGTGTGTGTGTGTGTGTGTGTGTGTGTGTGTGTGTGGTCATACAATGCATTCAATATTTTAGGAATAAGCAAAACCTGTTTCTCAACTGATTGTATATGTTTGCATATAAGTTGTGAGTATCTCAACAAAAAACTGATATTTCTTACTCAGGTTGTTTTGATTTGGAGACATTAAAGAGACAAAACTATCTAATATTTCACAATTAAAGAGGAAAGATCAGATAACAACTGACACTTTTAACCAAAATGCAAAAATATTCAGTTTATAATTGGATACAACTTAAAAGCCCCAAAGCATCACATGTGATGATCAAAATTGTTCCCAGACTAATTTTCTAATCAATGTAATTGTTATACAGTTTGGAAACAAGTTTTGACCCCCAGGCAACTGAGTTAAACCAACTGCACTATCAAATACTCACTATCAAAACACTATTAGCTACAGCAGAAAGTAAGTTTGAAACTTACCATTTTTTTAAATGATAATTTTCTAATAAACACTGGCTCATTGTAGAAGCCTTAAGATACTCAATTGTAATAGAAAAGCCACAGGAGGTGTTACTCTCATATACCAGCAGGTGTATATAAATGCTGAACTAGATTACGTTTTTGTGAAGTAACAGCACCTTTTCCTCACAATAGCCTGTGAGTGATCACTTCTCTCTATGTCTACACCTTGACATTTACTCAGCTAAGATGGGTAAAGTGACAAGGACACGGGAAATGGAGAGCAGATGGTATGAGCAGGGAGGGGAGGAGCGGAAAGAAGAGTAGATAGAGATGCAGGGGAGAAGGGAAAGAGAGAGCAGGGAAGAGGGTGAGGAAGACAGGGAAAGATCTGGGGAATGGACAGGATGAGGAAAGGTGACATAAAGACGTGGGGTGAAAACAAAAAAATAAATGGAGAGAACAGTGGAAACAGGAGCTTGGTACTCACTCCCTCCTCACATGTGCCAGGTGAAGCGTCACTTCATTTGGTTTACTAACAAGTAAAATGCAAAAAAGTGTGTGGGTGGAGTCTGCTGGTTGATGGATGACCTGTCGTGAATAAAGGGGGGGTGTTGGTCGGTTGGTCGTTTGGTCGTTGGGGAGAGAGATGGAGGGATAGAGAGATGGAGAAGGGGGACAGGATGGAGCATTGTAATGTTGACAGGGGGTCATTTATCTGTCTGCTGGATCTGACCAGCCAGGCACTATGGGAGATCAGGCTGCACCAGCATCTCCCCTCCTCAACACCTGTGTCTCTTTTTCTTTCTTCCCTTTCATCCTCTGTTCTTACATCACCACGTCCCATTCTCTCCCTCTTATTTACATGGCATCTATCTTTTCCATGTGTCTTTCACTGCTTTTTCACTGCTGCTCTTTTTGTCTCCTGTCCTCACCCTTGCTCTGCCAGTTTTTCTTTCCCTCCATCTCAGTTTTCAGATATGCTTTAACTTGAAATTAGTAGTTCAAATGCTTACTGTGAATACACTTCAAATGACCCTTGAAGCAATTAAAAACACTCTGTGGTCTTCCACTGAAAATGCTGCCTTCTTTAGTGTCAGTGCGCATTCTTCGCATTTTTCTCTCTCCTCCTTCTCCCTCCTAATCTGTTTTTGTACTGTCTTTACTTCCTGCTTTTTCTCTCCCTTTTTTGAAAATCTCCCCTTCTCCCTTTCATCCCTCCAGAGGGACTAATAAGTGGCGTTATGAGTCAGTGTGAGCAGAGAGGGAGATGGGATTCAGCTCGTAGGCCAGATAAGGGTTTTTAACTTAGCTGTGTCTTATCACAACCTGTCACTGCTACTTAAACTGAACAGATACTGCCTGGCATTATGTATGGAGTGGTAAAAACCCTTAAATTGAGATAGTGGAAGTTCTGTCTGAAGCATGTTGGTGTAATCCCTGTACAGAAGGGTGCCAGTGATGTCAGAGTACTAATTTAAATGCAGTGAAGCAGAGATGGGAGACTCTTTCAGGCAATTCACAAAGGCAACACTAGCAAAGGAGTTGACCCAGTGTTACTGCGCATCAATTAATCAACATCTTTGTCACAGAAAATAATTTTTAATCAAATTTTAGATCCATTTCCTGCTTGCTGCCAGACATCAAGCTCATCGACATTCTGCTCAGTTCCCAGTGCGTCACCGCCAATGACTGTTTGTTTATAAAGATGGACGACATGACAGCTCCCCAAAAGTGGGGATGGCTGCAGTATGGGTGATAAACCCCGCCCCCTCCATGTTAGGGAATGGGACGTGGGCAAAATCAAAGAAGACATCTAAGAAATTTTGATGAAGATGGCTTCTGTCATTTCAGGTAGTTCTTATCGCTGATGTATGTTCATGTGTTCGCTTTTGTGATACGTTTGCTTTTAATT